ATCAGGGCTTGGGCGAGCTGAAGTTGCATATTGGCGATAACATTGAGGATGTTGTCCGATCAAAGGGGCTGTACTTTGTTGTCGTTGACGTGCTCGGAGACGGAACAATTTGACGTTTGCGGCACTCCGGGCCTGCGTTGATCGACGTGCTCCTCACCTTCTTCCCGGTAATCGTTGCCTTTACCATTGCCGAGGTTCAAAGCTGTGAGAAGCGTTTGGAGTCGCGTCTTGATAACTTTGATTTCGTGACAAAGTTCCACCGTGAGCGTTGGGATCCGCGATGGTTGTTGTTGTCGACTGCGCCATGATACCTATCGTCTTTGCTTGTTAAGTCGAACCTTCTAGATTAATAAGAAAACAAACATGAAGTTTAATATTCGCAATTAAAGGCTTACACGGTCATCTTCTCTCGCTTCCTTCTTCTCTTCTTTAGCTATGCGGCTGCTTTTCCGCACGAGAGATCAGACACTCGCTCAGAACGAAATTGCCCCGCGACCCTTCAGCTGTGGGTGGAAACGTCGGCAGGTGTAACTATGAGCATTCAGAGACAAGCGTGGTCTGCTCGGACCACTTGAAAGAAAAGTGGTTTGACAGGACGGGGAAAATCGTTCGCCAAAAAGAAGGTGCAATACCCGTTATCTTCGAACTGCCTACAGACCTCGTTAAAGAAATATAGTACCCTTGCTTCTGAAAATATTACCTTTATGTCCCAAAAACTTAATGCCAGGTACTTTCAAAACAGAAATATTATTCATTTATGTATTAAAACTTTGGTGCATCATTTTATCGTTATCGGCAATCAGTGTTGCCGATAACGATAAAATCGTTATCGGCAACACTGATTGTGCAACAACTCTCGACACCACTGATTGTGCAACAACTCTCGACACCATCACATGTCTATCGCACGGAAGCTTATAAGTCCCACCATGGTGGGATCTTTCAGCCACCATACAAATACAACTTTACCAAAAAAAATGGCCGACCGTGGCCGCATTCGCGGAGCCGGCGAACGCGATCCACAAAATAGTCATAGAGATAAGTGGTGTCATTGAATACAGTCGGTAGAGTGTACTAGAAGGTCCTTCTAGTACATTCTAACAGTGGGGGATCGGTGATCGAGAGGGCTAGCCCACACCAGCACCACCAGCTCGGAGCACGTGGAGCGAAAGCTCGTGCTGCAGAATCTAGGGATCCTGGGCTCAATCCTCCACCCTTCTGCCGGTTGCGATCTGGATGAGCATCATACCGGCGCACTGTCGCGTGATAACTACAGCGTGGACTTCGGTCCCCGCTCCCTAATCCCTTATCCTCCTTCTTACTGACCTCCGCAGCGTGCTCCACGCAATATAAGGTCAATAAACGTGTTTTCAGTCAATCAATATACGTGGCGCACATTAAAGGCCGTTTCACAAATACAGTGGAGTGCTCAGTTAGCGCTTCATGAGCGCTGGAAGCAGCGCTCATGTGGCACCGACTCGCGCGTGACGTAGCGCTCTGTTAGCGCTTCACAAGCGCTCCAGTAGGCGCTCAGTTAGCGCTTCAGAAGCGAGTCAGCAGCGAAGTGTGAGCGCTCTCACACACCTTGTGCCGTGCTTGCTGCTGCGGAACAGCACGTGCGCGGCGATTCCGTTGTTGTTTTCCCTTGGTATTGAAAGAAGACGAAATAAAAGAGCCGCTCTCAAGCAAACGGTGGGGCAGACCATTCATGGTCATGGACTCTGAGCGTCTAATTGATTGGCTACTGTTGTGTTCTGATTTGTATAACTGCGTTGTGTTAGCAACATATGTACAAATCATCATCATCACCATATGATCTGTACTTCATTTTCTTCTTTGTCGATAAAAGTCAGTCTGATTTGGAACGTTGACTGGGCTGGTCTAGAGCCACTCTATATGGCAGCGTAGCTGCCAGAGTAGCGACACGACACAAAATTACCTAGATGCACGACGTCAGATGCGCTGATAGTGATCTCCATTTTGGGCCTGAGAGGTTGCCATGGTAACCGTGCTTCTAGCGACGGCGGGCGGCAACCTTTGTAGTCTAGTTGATATCTCCATTCGTTCATTGAAAAGTGGTATAAGACGCTTTGCAACGCGGTAAGGCAAGAACCTCTGGAGGAACGGTGCCTGTTTTTTCTGAAAAGTGAGACGATTTGCAGCCCGGGGACTGTCGGGCGACGAGAGCTGCTATATGGTATCGTACGTGCACCGACAAGGCGAGAGGTTTTTCGGCGCCGCCGGGATGGCGGCCGCTTCGTGGGACGAACGTGCCGTCCTAGTACTTTCGGACTTCGCTCCGACGGGACAAAATTACGCCGGCCACGACAGGACGAGCTCGGGGCATGACTGCTGCTCGACTGCCCCATAGTGAGCGAGTATATGTTTGCCATCATACTTCTTCAAGGCCCGGTCATCCCTTCAAGATGAAATTTTCTCACCAACTGGTGAGGAGCGACGTCAACGGGGTTCAACCAAGAAGGACGGCATTGTGGTTTTTAGGGAATTGTTGACGCCATCAAAAGAGACGGACGCCGGATATGAGGTGTTCTTGCCGACAGGAAAAATGGTCGTTCGGAAGTTTACCGGCATTCAAAAAGTCAATATTTTTATCTGGTGTAGCACACATATATCCCTGTTAAAGGGGCCACAAAATTATTTTTAAACTTCTTCTTCCTTACCTGTAATCCTCAACTCGAAAGAGAACTGTGAAATCACGCAGTCGTGACATACTAGGGCACCGGTGCGATGACCCCAAGCTTTCACCGTGCTTTCTAAGCGCACCGTAGAACTTGGCATTCGCAAGTGGTGATAAGTTTTTCAGGACACTCATTGGCCAGGAACTCGAATTCAAATATCCATGGACGAATTGATTGCTGACGAGCGCATACATCCGAGGGACGCAGTTTTCGTGTCCAATGCGTGAGTTGGGGTCGGCTGACGTCATTTTGGCCTATGTAGGCATTGTAAAGAGGATATTTAGAACCATACACATATGATGATAACATCATAGCACACTCACATTAAGTAGCCCAAAACGAGCCCAGCTACAGAAAATAAATATTACACTCATAAGAAATAAATACGTCTGTAACATGTTAATTACAATGCCGAACACACCTCTGAGCATCTAAGTTTAACAGTATGTGTTGATGCATTGTTATATAGCAGGACATTTCATGTACGTCACTTGAGCAAACGCCAGTTTTTCACTTGAAAAACAAACCAAAAAACACTGCGATCAAATGCAAGCCATTGCAACGAAAGCAAGTTATATTAAAATCTTCAGAACTGCGAATTCGTAAAATTGGCGATTAGTAAAAAAGGTTAAAGATCGCAGGAGCTTCCTCGCTAAAAATTGCTGTGATTATTCGGTGACCCAGGGCTGAAACAATTTCCCCAAGGCCCTACACGCGCCGTATACCTTTCGTTATGATTCTCAGAAATTCAGAATTTCAAAGGAAGCTAGAAAAATGCGAAAATTTTATCCTAAAAGCTATGTGGAGCGCAAGTTCGTCTACTTCTTTTTGCAGGGGTTGTGGTGACGTCAGAACGCCGAGATCTGAGTGGCTCCGATTGAAGGATAGTGGGTAGACCTAAAAGCAAGCTGCCTTGAGGCCTACCCACTATTCTTTATTCAGAACCAGAGCTCAGCGTTCTGACGTCACCACAAACCCTACTAAAAGAAGCAAACTTGCGCTGCGCATATCGTAAAATCGTTGATTAGTATATACTTGGGAGTTCTGTGAACATTTGCACAGCTTTTAGTTGGACACCTATTTCAAAGTTGCGACGAGTCACTCGCAGTAGATGAGCAATTTAGCCAATGCAGTATAACCGCTAGCCTGGGGTCTATAGGTCTTTAAAGTGCACCACGCAGTAGTGATACACAACCGCAAGCCGGTACGATGCTCATGCAGATCGAAACGGGCGGGGGTGGGGATTGAACCCAGGTTCCCTGGTTGATTAGTATAAACGTAAACATCGCAGAAGCTTCCTCGCTAAAAGTTTGTGATCATGCGGTTACCTCGGGCGAAAACAAATTCCCCAAGGCCCAACATGCGACGCATAGGTTTCGCATCGATTCTCAGACCCTCCAACGTTCAAATAAAGCTAAGAGAATGCGAAAATTGCATGCTAAATGTCTTATCGATCCTCATACACATCCGGAAACCCGAGCCCCACTAAGGCGATATTACTGATGCTGTCGCACAGGTGCTAATATCCAGAACGTTCTTGCACAGAAAGGGTATAAAGTATCATTCTTTCAGATCTTCACGTTATACCTACGTCAGAAAGCACGAAGAAGCCCTAAATCGTCGGCAAGCTGCGGCACATCACGACTCCTGCGCACCGAACGAACTCGCATCCACCAGCTCTGGGCGCTGCCATCTTACCGATGACATCACGGCTGTTGAGAGGTCACGTGACGAGTTCGTCACTCGGTTGCTACGGAAACCGAGCCAGCTCAGCTCGTTGCTATGGTACCGCGTGTGACCAATCGCGGTGAGAGGCGGCACAGGGAAAAGCGTGGCGCTACTCTGGCAGCTACGCTGCCATATCGAGTGGCTCTAGGCTGGTCCTGTTCTTTTTCTCTGCCGTGTCCCTGAGGACACCACATTTTTGGCGACGAGATGCTGAGCCCATTACGGCTGTACTACTAATAGCCATGGCGTTCTTCTCTGCTGCATCGCCGCCCCCGTTCCTGCCTACGCCGGGACAGCCTGCAATTCCGTGGGAGCAGTGGAAGCGGGTGTTCCTGAATTTCCTGGAAGCTGCTGGCGGCAACGAATTGCAGCCGAATCGTCGGAAAGCAATTCTGCTGAATGCCCTGGGCGTTGAAGGACAGCGGGTGTTCTACAGCATCGCCGGGGCACGGACCGGTCAGTCACCTTCTACTGAGAAGCCTCGCGAGGGCATCGAAGGATGGCTTGTCGAAAACATCGAAGGATGGCGAGTCGGAGGGAACGCCATCAGCTGAAGACGCGTTCCAATCTGCAATGACAGTGCTGGACGCTCATTTTGCCACGACTACGAATGTGCTTGTAGACCGTCACCGGTTCCGACAAAGGCGTCAGGCGCCTAAGGAGGCGTTCGAGGCCTACGCAGCCAGTCTGCGGGAACTTGCTTCTTTCTGTGACTACGGTGACGGCGTCGACAACGTCATTCGAGATCAGCTCCTCGAAGGCACTACTTCTCGTCAAATTCGAGAACGCCTGCTCTACGAAGGTTCTACCCTCACACTCCAGAGAGCGCTCGATATTGGCAGACATATTGAACAAATTCAACGGGAGATTCACGAGGTTGATGACGCCTCTGTGCAGCGCGTGGTACCGAAGAAAACTGAGAAATCTACTTCGGCAAAAGGATGTTGCTACCGCTGCGGGTCACAAACTCACAACGCAAACTACGACAAATGCCCGGCGAAGAATAAGCGTTGTCGCCGCTGCAAGAAGATTGGCCGCTTCGAAGCAGTGTGCAAGTCGAGCGAGATGTCTAGTGTTCAAGCCGTCAAGGATCCGAAGTCGGCGGAAGCTAACGTCGTCACCGTTCTGCATATCGGCGGCGATTACAGACGTGCACGGGAAATATCTACGGAGGAGCTCATCGGCAACGTTCCCATTCGTTTTCTTGTGGATACGGGGGCCACGGTTTTTCTGTTGAACGAAGAAGACTACCGCAAGAACTTCGCTGAAAGGTATCCTCTGAGTGCGACGTCAGTCGTATTGCAAACTACACGAAGGAGGAAATCCCAAGCGTCGGATGTTTTCTGGCCGAGGTAACCTACAGAAACAAGGACGCCTGCGTCATGTTCTACGTGACCAAAAGAGGCATTTCGTTGCTAGGACTCGACGCCATTCGTAACCTTCGTATCAACATTGAAGGAGAAACACTCAGCTGCTGTCAGACTGCTACTTCACCGGCGTCTGCGTTGCTACCTCCAAGCCCAAGGAAGGAGTTTGGACAACTTTTTTCCAAAGAACTCGGACTGGCTAAAGACTTCGTGCACCAAGTTCAGCGACATACGTCGGTACAGCCGGTTACGACTAAACCTCGAAGACTTCCACTGTCTCTTCGGAATCAAGTCTTTAAAGGAAACAATTGCATGGCTGATACCTTGTCACGGTTACCAGCGGAAGATCATACAGGTCAAGAGAAAGAGGAGGAGATAGTTTCCATTGTTACATCATGTGTAACCAAGGAACAGCTGCAAGAAGCAACCGCAGCAGATGCTACTCTGCGGGACGTTGTGCGTTTCGTCCACGAGGGATGGCCCTCAAAGAAGTCGTTGGACACAAAACTGGTTCCGTTTTACCACGTTAGGGAAGAATTATCGGTGGTTGACAGGCTTGTGCTGCGGGAGGAGAAAGTGGTCATACCTGAAGCTCTGACGCCGTTGATGGTACGCTATGAACATGAAGCCCACCCTGGTATTGTACGGACAAAGCAAAGGCTCAGGGACCGGTTTTGGTGGCCTCGCATGGACCGTCAAGTGGAGTTAGAAGTCAGAAGCTGCCACATTTGCCAGGAAGCAGACAAGTCTGCAAAGCCTGTGCCCGCTCCCCTGCAGCCGGTTGCTTTACCGGATCGGCCATGGCAGAAGTTGGCCATGGATATTGTCGGACCCCTGGCTCGAGCACCATCAGACAAAAAGTTTGTCATAACACTGATAGACTATCACTCAAAATGGCCTGAGCTCTGCTTTACAAGCCATGTGACCTCGCAAACGGTCATTGAGTTTCTCCGCTCGATGTTTAGTACGGAAGGGTATCCCGAAGAGATGGTAACAGGTAATGGTACGCAATTTAAATCCAAAGAGTTCGAGGATTTTCTTGAAGAAAGGGGAATCCGGCATTGCCTGTCTTCAGTATACTATCCGGAAGCGAATGGATTGATTGAAAAGTTCAATCGTGTCTTAAAGGACTTCATCCAGCTTGCTATCCTCGAGAATCGCCCTCTGCAGTCTGCGGTTACCGACTCTCTGGGCGTTTACAGATGTACCCCACACGGCACGACCGGAATCTCCCCTGCCGTTCTACTGCACAGTCGCAGCCAAGAACAAGGTTAGATATAATTGGACTACCATCCAAGGACGTCTTTCAACGACCAGAAGTCGAAATGAAATCTCTTCGGAAGAGAGTCGAGGACCGGCAGAGCAAAAGCAAGGCCTACATTGATGAAAAACGTGGTGCCAAAGCTGCCAAGTTTAAGCAAGGCGATTTCGTCAGAGTACGCAAGCCGCCTGGTGGCACGAAAAGAGACCTTAGGTATACAACACCGTTGAAGATCCTACAAAGAAAAGGACCAGGCACGTTTCTGCTGGAAGACGGACGGACGTGGAACGTTTCAAAATTAGTTCTCGTCCATCAAGCGGGAAAAGATATAAAGAACCAGGTTGGCCAGCATGGTTACCGTTGAATTCAGGGGCACCGATGGAAACGCAGTCAGTTCTACCTCGCCAGCGATCGTTACAAGACGAGCAGCTGCCTGAACTTGCTGCGGCAGACCAGAGGACACCGCCTGGACCGGAGGAGTCTACCTCCGCGCCTCTCCCAGATTCCCAGCAAATGTCGCAACCGGACACTAACGTGCGGCAGCCCTTAACACGATCACGTAAACCACCAAGCTGGTTACGGGATTATGTCACATAACATGTGAAGCAATGAAGGACACACATCAGACACTGATACTTTGTTTCGCTTCGTGTAACTTTTTTTTTATTAGGCTTAAAGGGAGAAAAACAAAGAGGTAAGCCAAGGCCTATCCTTGACTGGCTACTTTGTTGGGATGGGGGAAGGGGAGAAAAGAATATCAGAGGAAGGGAAAAGAAGTGAAAAAATTCACACACACTTTGGCACGATTGTGATAACACGGATTGCGTAGCAGAGTTGCTAGTGGTAACTGTGTTCAATTGTCGTTGTATAAGAGTCCTCCGCAATCGCAGACACCAACGCAGACACAATCACAGTCACGGTCACGAATAGTTTGTCACACACGTGGTCACATTCTAAGACAAAGTTCGGACGGAGAATGGTAGTCGTGCATTGGTTGGTACCTTTTCAATTAAATAAAGAACATATTTAAAACAGATATTTAACACTAAAGTCTCTCCATCAAGCCTGTACTCTCCAAAAAGATGGAAAACATTTTCACAGCCTTTCGTTGTTCGCCTGGCGACAGCCAGGGACCTAGTATTTGAGATATGTTTATGTTGGCGGTCGGAGTACCCGGTAGGGACATGAGAAGATTAGCACGTTCTGTGTTGTAGAGCGGGCATTCGGAGATGATATGTTTAACATCTTCAGGTTTTCCACATGCACTGCAGTTGGGGCTAGATACAATCCCAAATTTGAACTTGCGGCGATTTGTGTAGGCCGCGTTGATTCTTAGCCGATGTAGTAGCGTTTCTAGTTTCCTTGGAAGGCCTTTCGGAAGGAAGTTTCGTAAACAGGGGTCAATGTGGTAGGAGTAACCATGATGATTTTCAGGCGATGTCCAAGTCCTAAGAAAGTGATCCTTACCTAGTGTATTAACAAGTTGGCGACAGTCTGCTTTTGTAAAAGGTATATCTTCACCAAACTCCATGTCGTGTCCGCGTGTGGCAGCAGCATCTGCTGCTTCATTTCCAGGGAGGCCGCAGTGTCCCGGTATCCATTGAAATACAATGTGCTGCCCATTGCCTATCGCTGTCGCATGGAGATATAAAAGTTCAGAAATTAACGATTGATTTGTTGTTTTGTAGAGAGGGTTTTTTAAGCATTGGAGTGCAGCTTGCGAGTCTGAAAGTACGACCCATTTTTGTTGGAGATTAGAAGCCGAGATGTGTTGAAGTGACTTTTCAAGGCCATGGAGTTCGGCTGCAGTGGATGACACTTTCCGTAAAAGTCTGAAAGACTCAACGATTTGCAGAGACGGGATATGAATTCCTGAAGATGAAGAAGTATCAGTTGTTGATCCATCTGTGTATATATGTATAAAGTTTGTGTACCTTGAATGTATATGTGATAGTGCAGATTGCAGCAGGACAGTTTTAGATTGTGTGGTTTTGTTTGTAATGCCGTCTACATGCAGCGAAACATTCGGTGAAGGTAAAATCCAAAGTGGGCAATAAGGAGGCTCAGGGTAAGCGGCAGCTTGCGGGATATTACGCTGTAGCTGTGCAATATTTTCGGAGACGTCTGAACGCCTTTGTTGTACGTTCATTAGTTGATGATGATGATGTTGAGTTTTGTATTTAGGGTAAATGCGGAGAATTTCTTGAATGCGCAATATGTTAAGTGGAAGTTGGCGGGCTTCGGCAAGTGTTGCTAATGGGGATGAATCTGGAGGGAATCCAAGACATATCCTTAGCGATTTATTCTGCCCTGCCTGAAGGTTCGACATGTTGCTTGTGCATGTATTTAGCACGGCTAACGAATACCGCAACAAGCCATTTACGAGGGAATTTTGTACTCTGAGCATGGACTATGTTGATTTGCCCCAAGATTTACCAGTCAGGCAGCGGAGAACGTGATTTGCTGAGTCTATCTTTTTTCTCAACGTCTTAATATGAGGGGTCCATGTAAGGTTTCGGTCAATAATAAATCCCAAAAACTTATGCTGTGAAGCGTAAGGGATTGTTCTTCCTGCCAAAAGTAATGGAAATCTTTTCATTGACATGCGTGTGAATGCCATTGCAATAGTTTTTTTCTGGTGAGAGGCTGAGTCCGCGTGAATTTAGGAAGTTGCTAATTATTCGAAGTGTGTGTTGAAGCTTCCTCTGAGAAATGAAGCGATTTTGATTGGTGGTCCATATGTAGACGTCATCTGCATAAAATGTGATTTTTACTCCCTCAGGGAGGTTCTGTACAAGAGATATTAGACACAAGTTGAAGAGTGTCGGGCTGAGGACGCCACCTTGCGGGACACCCCTATTAACTGTATGAGGAGAGGTGCGCCCCTCCATTGTTTCCATGAAGACAGTCCGATTATTAAGATAATCTTCAATCCACGAGTAAATTCGACCACCAATTCCATGTTCAGATAAGGCTGTTAATATTGCAGCGTGTTCAACAGAATCAAAGGCCTTACGAATATCTAGAAAAATGGCTATTGTTGTCCTCCTCTCCGATATCCCGTGTTCCACACAGGTAATGAGGTCAATCACATTGTCTATTGCTGACCGCCCGGATCGAAATCCGGACATTGCCTCGGGGTATATGTTGTTATTCTCTAGGTACCAGCTTAGCCTTGTGAGAATCATCTTTTCCATAACTTTTCCAATACAGCTTGTAAGAGCGATTGGCCTGTATGATCCTAAATGAAATAGGGAATGCCCCGGTTTTAGAATAGGTATGATTTTAGCCCTTTTCCATTCTGTGGGAACGGAGCTATTTGTGAGTGATGAGTTGAATGCTTCAAGTAGTCTACGTCGTGGATTGTCTTTTAACCTACTGAGAGCGGCATATGTCACTCCATCAGGACCAGGGGAGGACTTTTTCTTTGTACTTTGCAAAGCACTGTCGAGTTCACTCAGCGTTAAAGGGAAATCTAGTCTGCGGTCGAATGAGGTAGGAGTTGTCGGTTGCTTTATTGTATACGAAGCTCTGCTGTCTGAAATCAGTTCGCAGTATGACTCGGCAACTTCAAGTTCAGTTGAATCTTCTCTGAGAGCAGTAGCCCTGAAAGGATAGCGGTGGAGGTGAGTTTGGCGCCTGATGCCGCGAATTATCTGCCACATTTTTGCTAGGCTATTTTTGGCGTCTAAGGACACACAAAGTTCTCGCCATGATTTCCGTGCGAG